AGGAATAGGAGGTAAATCTAAGAGAGTAGAGCAGCTTGTTGTTTTAAAAGTTACATAAGGCTTTATAATAGAGAACTGAGTTTTTCATTTGTGTGTTTACAAATTTACCAGAGCATACATATCCAAGTGATCATTTTTTCTCTTGAAAGTAACTGCCTTGAGGAACAAGCCATTTATTCTAATTAGTCTGCAATTACTTATCACAATTTTGGCAATCTCTTTTGTAACTGCCTTCGGAACTCATGGCTCACATTTTTTGAATAATCTTAATGGTAGATTGTCAAACTTTAAAAGAGTGGATTGTAACTAGGTATCTTGAAAAACTTATTGTAAACATTTAAGATGAGTGATCAAAATTTTAAAAAACATCATAGATTAAATTATATGAAATTGCCATCTTTGTCAATGATTATAAGTTGAATACTATCAATTTCATATGATATAATTCAATATAAAGAGGAAGACATTTAAAAAATAGGGGAAATCCCAAAGTGTTAAATATCAACATCAGGCTGAAATACAGATATTTATCAAGGTGGTAATACTTTGGTTGTTCTGAAACTCTTAAGCTTACTAATGAGTATTGGTATTTACTGTCAGCTTGGTGAGGTGAGAGAGAGACTGGGGATTGAATAAGGTAGAGAACCGAAATTGCACTCTTATCATGAAGCCAGGATTTTTTGAAGGGTTACATTCTCAATTACAAGATGGGTGAGGGGAACAACAAGCCCATTTTCTCATATTAGTTTGAGTTTGGGTAGGAAAAAATAACTTTAAATACAAGTCTACCATAAATTTGATTTGAAACTGAATTTATATAGTCTTTGATAAGGAAAGTATATACTGAAAGTTAAATTTAAATTAATTTGCCTGATTTTACTTCTGGAAATTGTGGAGTTGCTTTTGTTGGACCAACTGTTTTGCAGATAACAATGATAAATTTGTGCAAACTATAAAATAAAACTGTTTGAGGCCGGTGCCGTGGCTCACTAGGCTAATCCTCTGCCTTGCGGCACCGGCACACTGGGTTCTAGTCCCGGTCCGGGTGCCGGATTCTGTCCTGGTTGCCCCTCTTCCAGGCCAGCTCTCTGCTGTGGCCCGGGAGTGCAGTGGAGGATGGCCCAAGTGCTTGGGCCCTGCACCCCATGGGAGACCAGGAGAAGCACCTGGCTCCTGCCATCGGATCAATGCAGTGCGCCGGCCTCAGCTCACTGGCCGCGGCGGCCATTGGAGGGTGAACCAATGGCAAAAGGAAGACCTTTCTCTCTGTCTCTCTCTCTCTCACTGTCCACTCTGCCTGTCAAAAAAAAAAAAAAAAAAAACTGTTTAGAGGTGGGCATTTGGTACAGCAAAGATGCTGCTTGAGAAGCCTGCATCCCATAGAAGAATGCCTAGTGTCAATCCAACCTCCTCTGATTCTGATCCAGCTTCTTGCTAATTTTAGTACCCTGGAAGGCAGCAGGTGGTGGATGGAGTACTTGGGTCCGTGTTACCCACACAGAATATCCAGACTGGGTTCTGGTTTCCTGGCTTCAGGTTGTCCCAGCCCTGGCTCTTGTATGTCTCTTTGCCTTTCAAAAAAAAAATGAAAAAAATTAAAAATAAGCTGGATGAATGTACTAGACCATGACCAGGGGTAGGTAGAAACTGCAGTTGAATCAAAACTTGTTAGAAGAAACTGGCACTGGGTAAGTTTCTAGATTTTATGATTCTTCTTTGTAATGGCAGCCCTTTGCTTGCCATGAAACAGCTAAAACTTAGGAAAGCCTTACAGATTTGTTGAATGAAGAATGAGAGAATGTTGTAAGGTCACAGTGCACCTGAAAGACTGGGGCAAATCTCAGAAGGGAGCCTCAAATGTTACTTATAAACTCTGTCCAAATCATGGGTGACTACTGAATTTTTCATGTCTCTGTTAAACTGAGATGAGGATCAAATAACTGCATAGAAATTTCTGCTGCTGTCCTCCATCAGGAAAACAGAAAATTTGGCACCATTAAAAAATCAGTTCCATGTTAAAATTAAACATCAAAAATTATATGCTTCAGTGATCATAACAAAATCTGAGTCTAGATAACATATATAAAATATTCAGATTATGATCTAAAATTTCAGGACACACAAACAGGATAATGTCAACCTTAATTAAGAGAAAACATTATTTATTGAGGTCAACCCAAAGATGTTCCAGTTGTTGTATTCTGCTGTTAAGAATTTGTAAGGTGATATTAAAAAATATGCTCAAAGATATAAAGGATAATATGCTCATAATGAATTATCAGAATTCTAAGCACAAATAGACACTATAAGAAAGAATCAAATGGAAGTGTTGAGTTCAATGATAAAATATTGGAATTAAAAATTCATTGGATTGCTTGATAGAAAATTGGAGATACAAAAGAGTCAGTGAAATTGAAGATAGATTGGTAGAAATTATCTGGGCTGAAAAATAGGGAGGATGAGAAAGACCAATCAATTGAACAAAGTTCAAGTAATTTGTGGGACAGTTTCACTATAATAATTAAGAAGAGAGAGAATGGGGTAGAAAAAATAACTAATAGCTACAATTTTTCCAAATTTTGTGAAAAATGAATGTGTACTTTCAATATAATTCAAAGAAGTTTTAGTGAAAGAAAACCACATCACAATCAGACTGGTAAAATCCAAATATAAGAGAAATTTCTAGGAAACAGTCAAGAAAAAATAATATACTACATACAAATAAGTTAGCTTATCAGAAACAGTGGAGGCCAGGTGAAAAAGGAATCACATCATTCAAATGCAGGCAGAGAAAAAGAAAACTCTACATTCTATATCCAGTAAAACAGCCTTTATGAATGAAGGCCAAATAAGTGTATTTACAATTATAATTTTTTAAATTTAAGGCATATAAACTTGATGATTTTCATAAATACAAATTTAGGAACATAGTGATTTTTCCAAGTCACCCTCCTCCCACCCACATGCTCACCCTTCTTTCTCCTTCCTCTGTTATTCCTATTTTTAATTTTTACTAAGACCTATTTTCAATTAACTTTATACACATAAGATTAACCCTACACTAAGTTAACAGTTCAACAAATAATATGAAATAAAATGTTCCTCTACACTTGAGACAAGGTCTGTTCAAAGTCTTTGCAACTCACAGTGTCAATTTTATTTCTATAGATTAGCTTTTAAGTACTCTATTAGTTACCACAGATTAGGGAAACCATATGATATTTGTCTTTTTGGTACTGCCTTATTTCACTAAGTATAATATTTTCCAGTTGTATCCATTTTGTTGCAAATAACAGGATTTCATTTTTTTAACTGCTGTATAGTATTCAATGGTGTACATATACAATAATTTCTTTATCCAGTCTTTAGATGACAGACATCTGGGTTCATTCCATATGTTAGCTATTGGGTATTCAGCTGCAATAAACATGGGGGTACAGATAACTTTTTCAAATGCTGATCTCATTTCCTTTGGGTAAATCCCCAGGAGTAGGATGGATGGGTAATATGGTAAGTCTTTATTCAGATTTCTGAGGTATCTCCATACTAACTTCCATAGTGACTGTACCAATTTCCACCAACATTAGATGAGGGTACCTTTTCCACACTTCTTTGCCAGTATTTGTTGTTTGTTGATTTCTGTGTGAAAGCTATTCTAAAGGGAATGAGGTGAAACCTCACTGTGGTTTTGGTTTGCATTTCCCTGATGACTAGTGATCTTGAACATTTTTTCATGTGTCTGTTGGCTGTTGGGATTTCCTCTTTTGAAAAATACCTGTTGACAGCCCATGACAAGAGCCTCAGATGATCACTGACGTCATAAAAAAGAGTATTAATTGTTAAAGGAACAACAGTAGTCACTGTGCACTTGCTCCCCAGGTAGGACCTTTGTCCCTATTGAATTGCAATATGAGAATCAACTGCAAATTCTCTCCCAAAACTGTACTCTATATGTTGTGTGTGGACATGGGGGCAAATTGTTGAAATCTATGATTAGCATAGAGATGGTCCTCTATATATACAGTCATACTAAAAAATGATCCATAATGAAGAAGGTGATGGGAGAGGAAATGGGAGGCGGGAAGGGTGCAGGGTAGGGGGCATGGTGGAAAGAACCACTGTATTCCTAAAGTTGTATCTATGTAAAAATGCATTCATTAAATAAATAAATAAATAATTCACCACTAGAAAAAAAAAAAAAAAGAAAAATGCCTGTTGAAGTAATTTGCCCATTTCTTCAATGGACATTTTTTCTTGTTGAATTTCTTGAGCTGTTTATATATCCTGGATGTTAACCTTTTATCAGTTGCATAGTTTGTAAATATTTTCTCCAGTTCTGTTGGTTGCCCATTCACTTTGCTGAGTGTTTCTTTTGCAATGTATAAACTTCTCAGCTTAATATAATCTCATTTGTCAATTTTGGCTTTGATCGCTTGTGCCTCTGGGGTCTTTTCCAAGAAACTTTACCTATCCCAATGTCTTGTAGGATTTCCCCATTGTTCTCTAAGAATTTGATGGTATCAGTTCAGAAAATTAGGATAATTCCTTAATATCAGACTTACACTACAAAGATGCTAATGAAAGATTTTAGGTCGAAGAGAATAATGGCAAATAGAAACTCAAAACCACAGGAAAGATTGTAGAGCCTGAAATGTTGAATATATGGTTAACAGTAAAATTTTAAATTTTCTTTAAAATACATATAGCTATTTACAGAAAAAAGCACAATATGACAATGTGGTATTTATAGCATATTTAGCAGTAATTTATATGGCAATTAGAGCATAAAGACAAAGGAATGGGTTGAAATGTATAATTGCAAAATTCTTACACTTTTTGTGGAGTTTCAAGTACTTGGGTTAGAGACCAGTATGAAAAAATTTCAAGGCTGATTTCTAAACCAAATAGACCATATTGTTTTTATTAGTTAATGTAAATAGCAGTATGAGTCACAATAGCCAAAACCTGATATTTTCATAGTTTTATACAACCATTGTTAATTTTCTTCCCACATCATAGATGATATAATTCACATTGACTCTTCTTCCCAGCTTCCACTTAATAATGACTCAATAGTGCTGTCTGCTTTCCTCTTGCATCTTAGTTATCTTAAGGTGAAAGAGATAAAGATAAAAAGTCACATACATTTTTAATCATGTTCTACCAGAAATCACATGTCACTGTTGACTGCATTCAACAAGAATCAGTCTTAACCCTACACCTAAATTCTTGAGGCCAAGAAAATCTTGTATAATTGTACTTAAGAAAATGAAAGTATTTGATGAATACCTAGTGTTGTCTGTGTCCACATGTCCAAATGAGTGGTACAAAAGATAAGAAAAAGGCACAATACCAATTAAAAATTTCAAAATTATTTTAAAAATGAAATAAAAAAGCAGAACTAAAGTAAAATTAAAAATACCATCCTTTTTTTAGTAATACCTCATATTGGAGATACAAATTTCACAGGAATAACTAGACAGTTATGGAAAATGCCTTCATGTTAGCAAATAGTTCATCAAGTGATTCAAAGATTTTTTTTCTTAGAAATAGTGTGATATATGGGGCTGTCTTTTCAGATACTTTTCTATTACTTTTGCATTTGACTAGAATCTTCATATGAGAACTATTTCATTTACCACTAGGCACTAGATGAACCAGCCAAGACTGAAAGTGTCTCCAAGGACAGCACATTAGACCCACCTGTGGAGGTAATGACTTCAGATAACCCCTACTTTTGTTAATGTAATCCTGAAACTCATTGCTAACACAGTACCTGGTTTCACTTCTTCCAGTTGTATTTTCCTGCACAGCTCAGGCAGCAAACTGAAGAGATCTGTGCTACCATTGATAAGGTCTTACAGGATTCCTTGTCTATGGTAATGCCTTAGACTAGAATGTGCAATTCAAACATTTGCTTCGCTTCTTCGCTTCACTTCCTTCTACTTTAGTATAATTCCTTACAGGCTTGTCCTTTTCTTTTCTTTCTTTCTTTCTTTTTTCCAGCATTCTTCTGATTCTCCTTCAAGGTCCCCACAGACATGGTTGGGTTCTAACACAATCAAAGTATGTATGTATTTAATATAATTTAATGACCATAAGAATTCCTAGATAGATGATTTTCACACTGCAAGCCAAGGCCGCAGGGTAAATTGAGAAATTTATTCAGTAGTTTCAAACAATATTTTTTTTAGCAACTGGCATATAAAAATAGTAAAATATCAGAATGTATTCCAAGTTGTGGTTGGAGGTATTGTTAATATTTACTGAAATTTATTTACATTTACAGATAGAGATATGGTATACAGAAGTGCACGGCAAAATCTATTTCTAATTGTAGGTCAAGTTCAAAAGAATTTGACAGACAATTTTGTTGGCATTTTGTGATAATATATGAAAAATTCTTCATTTATTCTCATCTTGAACCATAGCTTCAGTATTTATGTCATCAATAGTACTTTGAATTGGAAGTAGAAAATGAAATAGATTAAAGTAACATTAGTCTAAGAGCTTTAGCGTAGGTATCATTTCTGGATTTTTTTTCTTTTTGGTGACTATTTTGTTTCATCGTTCTTTCACTTAGACAATCAGAAACCTCGATATTTTAGACTGCCAGAGTACCACTATACTATTAATTTATTATTACTGAATAATTGTCCCCTTATAATGTAACCATTTTCATTCATTGTATAAAATACTATGTTTCTCCAAATTGTTTTTTCAAATATGTAGTACAGCTCTACTCATCCAAATTTCAATATGCTTTTTTTCCCCTTTATTCATTGTTGTTAGAAGATTATATTCTCAATCTTCTTTTCCCTCCTGTAATTAATGTCATTTTGCATGCCTTTTAAAAAATGAAACATTATATGTCTGCAGTATGCTTTAAATATACAGAGTTGATCATAACTAAAAGAGTAACCCAAATTTGCATTTTGTATAAAAAACAAATATCCATTAATAATGGCATAGAAACCTTGTAACCAGTTACCAAGATTAAGGAATTATGTTTTAGCAGAAATAACCCACAAAAGGATAGTTATATTTTCTGTATTTGTAATAAGTTTTGTTGTACAAAGTGGCTTTAAGAAGTTCATGGAAAATGGACTTAAAACAAGTATATTTTAGTGAAGAAATTTCAAAAACTTCATACATAGTTCCTTCATAATATGTTTTTCCGCATATGTTTTTGAAGATCTCATCTGAATTCTTTAAGCCTTTTAATCTGAAACTTTGATTTGCCATAGTTACCAATTTTAAAATGTATTTTTCTTATTTCATTTTTTAAAGATGTAGATAAGCCTTTGTAATAATACAATGCAATGAAAGTAGTATTTAAGAAGTAATGTGTGAATAATTATACTATTAGTTTTAAAAACATTAATGCTTAAGGTGTTAAAAAATAGTTCATTAGTCCATTAGGTTTAGGACCATTTTTCATTCAACAAATATGGATTAAGTATCTACTATGTCTGGAACTGTGAGGTGATACTAAATAGTCACGAGCCAGACAGAATAATTTAAGGGGCATACTTTGGACATAGTGACTAAAAGATAGAATTTAAGCTGAGATTCGAAAATGGAAAGGAGCCATCCATAGACAGATCAGAGATAATAGCTTTGAAAAGTAAAGTTAGTGTATATAAAGATGAAGAAAGCTAGTAGGTTTATAGTATAGTGTGACTGGGACAAATGGTGTAAAATATGTTGAAAAGGTAGACTACTGATGGTGACTTTGATACTTGCCAGGGCATGAAATTTGGATTCCAAGGAAAATGGGGGAAAAATGATGGGAATAATTATGAAAACATTGAAAATGATCATTTTGGTTGTTATGAGGGGTCTGTTGAGCTGTGCGTGTGTGTGTGTTGGGGGGAGGGGAGTTGATGATGATAACCTGGATTGGATAGGTACAGAGAAACTAGAGAGAAACATATGAGTATGAGGTTTGTCATCAATTTGAATGTGAGTAGTGAAGGAGAGAGAAGAATCTCAAATGTGCCACAAGTCTCTGCTTTGATTATAGACAACAATCATAGAAGTGCAGTGTGGCATGATGGCTTTGGACAGGTAAGTTTTAGGTGATTATCAAGGATGCCTACACTGGGGTCTGTAGTTGGAGTGATCTGGAAGTCAGCAGCACATGGATGTCGTAAGTGTCCTATGCTGAACTCTAAGGAATAAAACATCACAGGTTCAATAATGGATGTGGAAGAAGAACCAGCATAGGATGAAAAGATGATTGTGGTTAGAGGAAAATCAGAGCACCATAGTGTCCTTCCTGGAAGTTATAAGGAGAGAGTATTTAGAGAATGGAATTGTGTTGAATGCTTCCCAAAAAAGGAAAAGATAAAGCTAAAGCAGTGATTTCAGATACGACTTGTATGTTTTGAAGTTATATTGCTTGTGCTTTTGCGTTGGTATTCATTCCCATTTTTAAAAATTTTGTGATTCAACTTTTAAAATTTAAGACTTTTCTCTTGAGTACAAAACCAACAATCTTATACTTATTTTAAATTCATGTTTTCCTAGATTTATCTTTTTCTATTACATTATTTTTCATTTATTATACCCTCTTGTCTAGTTTTCTTGAGGACCACCTACATCTGAATATCACTTGTAGATTCAATCTGAGATTCTGTATACAGCATTTAGAGTTAGATTATGTTATTTCATGTTTCTATTTAAATTGCTTTCATTTTTACTATTTGTCTTTCTTGCTTACCTTTGTATATTTTAACATTCCCAGATTTAAAGATATTTGATAATTTTACTTTGTATTTTGTTACCTTTTATGGTTATACATAAATGATTAAAAATCATTATGTCATTTTCCTACAAATTTTAAAGCTCATAAATGCCTTCTCCCAAGATTATGTAATTATTAAAACACCTTTTATTTTCTATTTCTTTGTGATCAAGCTATATATACACACACATAATTTGTTAGTTTTTTTGAATTTTATGTTTGAACTTTTGCTTTTGACTTTTCTTTAGTTAGATACTTATTGTTTATTTAAATCCTTAATTCTTACACAGATTTTGGTATCTGTATGATTTTCATGAACCAATTCTCTACCCCCACCTGAGGATACCTTGGACAACTGCACTGTATTCAACAAAGTCTTTTTGTGTGGACTTATGGTCTATATCCTTGAGAATATCTTTATTTTGTCCTTTTATTTCAATTAAAGTTTTGCACAACATAAAACTGTAGATTCTCTCTCCTTAACATAACACCCCCCCATCAGGTTCTTTCTTCAGCAAAATAATTATGAACTGTTTTGTCAGCATGATATTTGTTCCTCTCCTACAAAGTGATCATTTATAAAGTGGGTCTGTATACATGTGGAATTTTATCTTAATTGAAGATGTTACTGAATTTCCCTACAATGTTTGGGTGTTCATATTTTATTCTATGCATGTTTGTTCTCTGTGCCCTTTCCTCTGAAGTCTTCAATCTTCTGCTTGCTTTCTGAATACTCAGTCATCATTATTTTTTTGAATCTTATTTTTCCCCTGGAGAGCTTATAATACCAATTTGGTCACTTTTGATCCAGTATTTCATGTCTCTTTGCCTTTATATCCTTCTTCTATTTATTGCTTCCTAATTCCTCCAGAAGGACTTGATGATCTGATAGTCCAGGTCAAGAATCCTATTCTTCAATTCTCAGCATTAAGTATATTGTTATAGCTCACATTGTATTTTCCTTTTAAAGTCACTTTATTGAGCTATAATGTAACCACTGTAAAATTAACCCTTAAATGTACAGTTTTATGAGTTTTGACAAAACATAAAATTGTGTAGCCACCTCTATATTCAAGATACAAAACCTTTCTGTGAACCCAAATTGTTCTCCTGTGCTCTTTTCGGCTATATCCTTCCCTCTCCCTGAGTGTTGGGCAACCACTGATCTTTCTTGTGGTCATATGCTTTCTTGTTTTCAAGAATATCATATAAACAGAATCAAATAATGTATAGTCTTTTGGGTCATACTTAGTAGTAGAAAACATTTGAGGTTTACCTTTATTGCCTAAGAAATTCGTTTACTTTTTATTTCTAAGTTATGTTCTATGGTATGTAGGCACTATATTTGTGTATTCATTGGCTGGTAGATGAAGGGATTATTTCAAATTTGGACATAGTAATAATATATCTTCTAAGAACATTTAAAATCAACCTTAAATGGATATATGCTTTCATTTTTCTTGATTAGATACTTATGAGTAGATTGACTTTTTTTTAGTTAATTTTTTTTTTTTTTTTTTTTTTTTTGGACAGAGTGGACAGTGAGAGAGAGAAAGGTCTTCCTTTGCCGTTGGTTCACCCTCCAATGGGCGCGCGGCTGGCGTGCTGCGGCCAGCGCACTGTGCTGATCCGATGGCAGGAGCCAGGTACTTCTCCTGGTCTCCCATGGGGTGCAGGACTCAAGCACTTGGGCCATCCTCCACTGCACTCCCGGGCCACAGCAGAGAGCTGGCCTGGAAGAGGGGCAACCGGGACAGAATCCGGCACCCTGACCGGGACTAGAACCCAGTGTGCTGGCGCTGCAAGGCGGAGGATTAGCCTAGTGAGCCGCGGCGCCGGCCTATAGTTAATATTTTTTAATCATGGATCCTCAAGTTTCTTGGATCATATCAGCTAACTTGGCTGTATATGTGGCTGGTGTCTGTGGTGGCAGACAGTGGAGTCTGGGGCATAGGATTTGCTAATTGTGATGTATTTATTTATTTTTTTAAAGATTTATTTATTTGAAAAGCAGAGTTACAGAGAGGTAGAGGCAGAGAAAGAGAGAGAGGTCTTCCAACCTCTGGTTTACTCCCAAAATGACCACAATTGCTGGAGCTAGGCTGATCCTCAGCCCAGAGCCTGGAGGTTCCATTGGGTCTTCAATGTGGGTGCAGGGGCCCAAGGACATGGGCCATCCTCTGCAGCTTTCCCAGGCACATCAGTAGAGAGCTGGATTGGAAGAGAAGTAGCCTGGACTTGAACCAGCACCCATATGGGTTGCCAGCACTGCAGTCTGCAGCTTTACCTGCTTGGCATTCTCAAATTTCCTTCCGTTACTGCAATCCTCTGCTTTCCTTACCACTGATGTCAAAAATTGTTGTGAGAAAGAATATATAAACACACACATCAAAGACTATATAACCAGACACACAAAGAGAATATATAAACAAAACTATTTTGAAATACCAGTCTGTGAAAGGAAGAAGGAAATTGGGGCAGTAGTAGGGTCAAGGAAGAATTTCTTTTTATTTTGAAGCTTAAGTTTATATATTATAGGGTTGATTTTAGAAGAGAGAAGGGTACTGCCGTGGATTGAACAGACTTGGCTCTTCAAACTTATGCAGATGTTGAAATCTCAAATTCTTGGGTTAACATTTAGTGGATTAATGTTAATGGTTGGTGGGTGGGGTGGAGGCTTGGTCCAATTATGGAATGTAAATGTGGTGCTTTGGTTAGTGATTGGATTGAATTAGGTTGCTAGAGTGGAGCCCCTTGAATAAATTATGAGAGCAGTATAAGGCAAGACCACATGCAGGTTAGAAAAAGAGTGTGTGCTCCCTGTTTTTCTGTTTCCTGACTCACCATGTGATCAATTCACTGCACACTCTCTGCCATTGCCAGTTTCCACCAGGTGCCAGACTAATGGGGCTGCCTGATACTGAACAGTGGACCTGTGAACTATAAGCCAAAATAGACATTTCTGTTTCCAAGAGGCTCTTCTTAAGAATTTTAGTTATAGTAATGAAAACTGACTAATACAGTTGCTTATTATACAGAAGGGAATACTAAAGGGAAGAACCTACAGCCTAATTCAAATAAGTATCTGTTACGCTGTGAGCATGCTATCTCCTCTTCCCCATGTTTATATGTTGAAATAACCATCATTGTGATGTACTCGGAGGTAGGGCCTTTGGGAGGTGATTAGGTTATGAAGATAAAGCCCCAATAAGTGGTAAAAGTACCCTTATAAATGAGGCCTGAGAGAGACATTTTGCCTCTTCCTCCATGTGAGTTTGTTTTAAGAAGGTGCCATCTATGAACCAGAATGTGGGCCCTTGCCAAACACCAAAAATGCCAGTTCCTTGATATTGGACTTTTCTAGATGCCAGAACCATTGGAAATAAATCTCTGTTGTCTGTAAGCCAACTATTCTACATTGTTTTGTTACAATAGCCCAAATGGGCTAAGACATTATCCTTTGCTAAGAAGCTAGAAATGTACTCCACTGTAACAGGACAGAAAATAAAGGACATGGAAGGCAGAGGGGCAAGAATGTTTGTAGTTTAATAATGGAAATATGAGGAATTTCCTAACTAACATTCTTTTTTATTTCATAAATGGCAACTTTCAATGAAACAGTTTTAAGAGTGGGAATGGGAGAGAGAGGAATTTGAAGAGTTGTAGCATGTGTGGGAGGGAAGGGAGTATCACTGTGTTCCTAAATCTGTATACATGAAATACATGAAAACTGTATAACATATGAAATTTATAAAGAAGATATATTACAATTAAAAAACAATTGCATAACATTTTAATGGGACCCCATTTTGTTAATTTATAATGCGAGTTCATTTATTTTAAGGAAGGTTTATTTATTTATTTGAAAGGCAGAGTTACAGAGAGGCAGAGGCAGAGAGAAAAAGAGAGGTCTTCCATCCACTGGTTCACTCCCTAGATGGCCGCAAAGGCCAGAGCTACACAGATCCAAAGCCAGGAGACCAGAGCTTCTTTAGGGTCTTCCACATGGGTCCTGGGGCCCAAGAACTTTGTCCATCTTCTACTGCTTTCCCAGGCCATAGCAAAGAGCTGGGTCAGAAGTGGAGCAGCCAGGACTAGAACCAGCATCCATATGGGATGCCAGCACTGCAGGCAGCGCTTTTATCTACTATGCCACAGTGCTGGCCCCACTTACATAACATATTATAGTTTTTACTTTCCTGCAATAATTTTCAAGCTGGACTTTTATTTTCAAAAACATGCATAAGCTTGTTTAGTTTTCAGTCTGATTCTGAGACAACAAACTTATGGGCTGCCTGTGGCTGTTTTTGGATTCTACATTATTTCTCCTTACCTTGCCTTGCTTCCAAGTGCATCTGAATCTGATTTTTTTCTAGATATTTTATCTGAAAATTTATTTCTAGAAATTATTTGAGAACTCAGGTGCTGTTATCTTCTTATAAACAGTCTTTCGCTTGTTTCTGCCAGACACGGAGAGCAAAGTAGATTATCCTAATTTAAAGTAACATTTTGAGATTATTTTTTAAATGCTGAACCATCAAACCATTTTAGATGACTTGATACCAGGTTTAAGGCAATGTAAAATCTGAGTTATTCCTACTCTTGGGGCTTAATGTGTTCTCCACATATCTTGGTCTCTGACTTTTATCTCTCTCTGTGTCTGAGAATGTCGAAGTTTAGATCAGCTTTTTAAGCAACCCATCATTATTTACAAACATCTCCAGGGCAAAAGAGGATGTCATAAACTAGATACACTCTTCATATTCCCATCCTCTCCTAATTTGTCTTAGTAATTATTAACTTTTGTTTTAGCTCATTGATGTCCTTGATAAAATATTCTTCAATTTTTTGTCCAGTTTTTTATTCTCCCATATGGAAGGATTGCTTCGGTCCTTTCAAAAATATTTTTCAATTAATTTAAAGTCATGGAGGGAATGGGAGGGAGGGAGGGAGGGAGGGAGGGACAGACAGAGAGAGAGAGAGAGAGATGCTGACTTCCATCTGCTTCTCTACTTCCCAAATGCCCTCAAGAGCCAAGGAAGGGCCAACCTGAGGCAGAAGATGAACTCATTCATGTTTCCCACATGGGTGGCAGAGACACAAGTACTTGAGCCACCACCTGCTGTTTCCCAGGGTGTGCCTTAGCAGGGAACTGGATCAGAAGAGGAGTAGGGACTTAAATGTAGGTACTTTAGATGCAGCATCCCCACTGTAGCATCAACCCCCTGCCCCTGCTTCAACTTCAAATTGCACAGGTGTAAACCTACCTCAGGAACTTGTTAGAATTATCTTTATCTAGATATTCACCTAGATAACTCCCTCACCTCCTTCAACACTGCTCAAATGCCAGTTTCTCTGCTTTGATCATCCCATTTAAAATTGTGAGCCCCAAACACTCTTGACTTGCTTAACATCTTAGTAATCCAGAAAAAATGCAAGGTATTTGGCAGAAGTAAGGAAATTTTCCTCTGGAAGAATTCCCTCTATTACCTACTCTATGTTTCACATTATTTGTACTCTTTGTAATTGGTATAATTTACTCATTTGCCATTTTATTGCCTATCTTCTCGCCTGATAGAAGTTAAGATCCTCACAGGCAGGATGTTTTTGTCCCTTTTGTTCACTGATAAGCTGCAAGGGTGAAGAACAGTGCTGCACACACAGTAGATGTATGATAAATATTTGTTGAATAGATGAGTGACACAGACAGCCATCTCATCTTCAAAAGTGAACACACAAGAGAAAAACGGGGCCTTATCAGGCAGTATTGAGTTCACACTTGAAGTTAATAATCAGTGTAAAATGAAATCAGTTTAGTTGAGACAGTTTCCCCAGCCATGTTTTCTTCCTTAAGATCAAAAAAATGGAGAAGAATGCATGGTAAGTCCCATGAAGGATTGAGTTTTTTGTTTTTGTTTTTGGCAATTGATTTTGTCACAAAAAGAGAGAGGTGCAATAGAAATGAAACTATTATAATGGCTGGAATATGCAAATTACACAAGCTAAGAGATAATAAAGCCAGAACAAAGCTGGGGAGGCTCAATGATTTGAAAGTCCTCATGAAGCTTCTGTCACATTGCTGGTACTGAACAGTTGAAGGTGTTTGGTAGGAGACTGAATTTTGAAACTGGGGCATTGACACTGCAATATCAGAAGTTTTCCATTTTATTGGCAAAGTTAAAATCCAGGAATAGTCTTGAGAATGAATAATTGAAATAGAGTCTTTGAGAATTCCTTTGGAATTAGGCACCTCAAAGAATTGAGATGATGAAAATTTCTGTGTGAATTTTTAAATAGACAAAAATTACTGGAAAATGTGATAAAGGAACTATTATATCTGTTAATTAATATCATCAATCAATAAGGAAAAGTGAACCAAATAACTAATAGATAACAGCAATGAAAGGAATAATAATAATATAATTTAATAAAACAATTTTTGAAGGAAAGGGGGGTAGTGTGTAGAAAAGAGGGATGAATGGTTAAAAATCTCAACAGAGAAACAGTGATTCATTTATTATTTGCTTGATGACTTCAGAATTATAATTATCATTATTTTTCACATAGAATCCTACAACTCTCCCAAGAGCAGCTGGTCGAGAAACAAAATATGTAAGTACATTTGTAATTATACATATTACCTATTTTATGAGTGCCTATGTCAATTATATAGTCATTTAAATGGAAAGAGTTGATTTTTTTTCTTTTTTTTAAGATTTATTGATTTAGAGCCGGCGCCGTGGCTCAATAGGCTAATCCTCCACCTTGCGGCGCCGGCACACCGGGTTCTAGTCCCGGTTGGGGCGCCGGATTCTGTCCCGGTTGCCCCTCTTCCAGGCCAGCTCTCTGTTGTGCCAAGCGAGTGCAGTGGAGAATGGCCCCAGGTGCTTGGGCCCTGCACCCCATGGGAGACCAGGAAAAGCACCTGGCTCCTGGCTCCTGCCAGGATCAGCGCGGTGCGCCGGCTGCAGCGGCGGCCATTGGAGGGTGAACCAGCGGCAAAGGAAGACCTTTCTCTCTCTGTCTCTCTCTCTCACTGTCCACTCTGCCTGTCAAAAAAAAAAAAAAAAAAAAAAAAAAAAAAAAAAAAAAAAAAAGATTTATTGATTTATTTGAGAGGTGGAATTATAGAGAGAGGGAGAGAGAGAGATGGAGGTCTTCTATCCACTGGGTCACTCCCTAAATGGCCACAAGGGGTGGAGCTAGGCTGATCCCAAGCCAGAAGCCAGAAGCTTTTTCCAGGTCTCCCACTTGGGTTCAGGGACCCAAACACTTGGACTATCTTCCACTGCTTTCCCAGGGCATTAGCAGGGAGCTGGATTGAAAGTGGAGTCACCAGGACTTGAACTGGAACCCTTATTGGATTCTGGCTCCTCAGGTGTAGGCTTACCTACCACGCCACAGTGCCGACCCCTTAGGTGATTTTTTTTAAGTGGAAAGGTGTAGGAGATACAGTTGGCCCATATATGGAAAATCAGGTTATATCAGGGACAAGGCATCAGGTAAGCTTATCAAGTAAGTTCCATCTTATGTGAGGTCTAGTTTGGTCAGTTTAGGAGAAATGTAGCACTTGCATTTGGTCTTTCTATAATCAAAATTTAAATAACATTTTCATCTTTGTAATGTTTTATGTACTTATTATAAAATAACCAGCTCATATATTTCCAGAATTCCATTTTCAATGGGATTACCAGTTTAGTTAGCTTCAATAAGTTTGTTGTTTTATTGCACTTAAACTGTTACATCCTAAATAGGTTAGTTACAAGAAAAAATACATTAATAATGGATTTGCTATTATGGACTCACAAAATTCAAGTGACTGTGGGGAGCTGGCTCAGAGCATCTTAGACACACTCACACTCACCTTCACCCATCCTCATTCTTCATTCACTTGGTAACTTCCTTTCCTTTATGTGGTCCACTCTGCTTCTGAGTAAACATATTCCAGTAGAGACAAGATTTCTCCTTCTCCTAAGAAAATATTTTCATTGTCAGTCTAAAACAGATCAGTGAACTATTTCTTTTAAAGTATTTTCCAATATGTAGCTTTTGTTATCATCATACAGAGTGAATAGCTTTCAAGTGTGTATTTTGTCCTATGTTATCACCAAAATTTGTACATTTGTGCTTTAATTGGAGTCCACCTAAGGCAGATGATAAAATGGTGAAATGACTAAATATAATCACCCTTAGGAAATTATTTTTAGAAGATATGGGTAGGAATACCCCTTACAGCATTTCCTATAAGCTTTCACTGTTCTTTTTCATTATTATTTGAAGTCATTTGGTAGGAATTTAGTAGGCCAGGCCTAAGTTTAAAAGGTAGTACTGCTTTTAGACAACTATCAGATCCTAAGAAAATTACTTATTTCACCATTCTGTTCTTTGTTTTTTTATCTAGAAAATGTAAACATTAAAACCTTTTTTCTTGTTTGATGTAGGATTTATATTAGTTTTAGTAAGAAAAATCCTCATTATCATCCTGATGCACAGAAACTGCTCAATAAATACAAATTCTTCCCTTTGTTTCTCCATTTCCCTTAACTTTTGCCTTTATTCACACCTCTGTACTTCTTTTCCTCCCATTTATTTCTGGGAGACTAGAAGCTCTGTGATTTGAGTTATTTGATTTTTGAGTGGGTAAAAAAAGACATTGCTGTAATGATGGTTCTATACTTTTTGTGAGTAATGCATTCTATAAGAGTCAGATTTTTTTTGTTTTTTTTTACTCTCTCACCTTCTTTTCTCATCTACTAAAGTATGTCTCATTAGACTAGATCTCAATAAGGATCAGAGGGCTAATGCTTCTCTCCACCCTTCCTTGATGTCCTTAATTTGATACCAGTTGGAAAAATTCTAGAACATCTACTTTAATTTCCATACTAAGAGATTATTTCAAACTATTTTTAAGTTCAATTATCAGACTGAAAATAGGTTAACTTTCATGTTCCAACATTTGTGAGTGTATTTGAGTCATTCAAAGTTAACACTGAATCATTGAACGGTGCCAGTACACACTAGAACAAATATAAACCCTGATTCTAATAAAATTCTTGATCTTAATTAAAGTTCGATTCTTGAGTGAGAAGTTTTCTTTTTTCCTGTCTCTTTCAGCATGACATTTGAGTAGTTATTTGTGGCACCTCAAATGTTTCCATGACTTTTGGAGACCATAGCAATCATTTTATTACAGAATGTAAAAACCAGTTCTCTGGTGCCAACTCATGGATAAGTCATGATTGTAAATATTCACCTGAAATGATTGCATTTACTAAATTATGTCTAATATATATATATATGTGTGTGTGTGTATATCTATGTATATATATTAGAGGACATAAATAATGAAATCTTAGAGCAGAAATCAAGTTAGCTATAAGAGTTGTTCTTACGTGAATCATTTGTCTTAAACACAGCACGTTCTGATTTTTACAAAAGAATGTTATTGTAGTATGTTCATCTAAAAATTATTGTGAAGACCTATGCCACTGGTAGAAGCTGAGGAGAGCTTGTGTTCTTTAACTATTTTATCAATCAGTATTTATACTCTTAAGTCTACATTATATTTATGCCCTGTAAACTTCAGCATAAAGTTTGTAGAATTTCATATTTAATCAAATTAACACCTAAATTTTAATGTTCAACTATTTCCAATGTTTTAAATCACTTGCTTACATGCAAATTGATAATATATTTAAGAATATGAGTTATTATTTCTCATGTTACTCATTATAAAGCAGTTTCTTTCCTTTTAAGTAAACATATGACTTTTCTTTTAAAATGTCTAATTTATTATCACTGTGGGTTTAGATGGGAATTTTTTTCCTTTGAATTATATTTTCTTTGTAAACATGTATTGTTTTCATTAACTGCTACTAGTATAAATTCATTTCATTCATATTTTTCAAAATCAAAGTATGCTTTCTTAATAAAGAACAACTTCAGAAAATAGGACCAGTATTTGAGACTATTACCAATTTATCAAAACTCTTAGTTGAAATCATTCTATTGATAACAACTTATTTCATAAGCTCTCTGTATTTCATGGATTATTTGTAAGTGCGAGGGAAATAAATGAGACAGCTTTATTGAGTATTTGATTGTACACAGGTAAGATCTCATTTTAATGATCTTGAGGGACAGAAAAATGTCATTACAATGGAAGTATGCTGCTTCGAAAATATCACAATATATTGAAAAATGTGTCAAACTTCATTAAGAATATTTCCCACCATGTAAATAGATATTCAAATAAATTTAATTGTCTCCAGGTTAGCCAGTTTACAGTCTCCATCTGTTCATATGCTGGAGTGTTTCAGGGGTGATGTGCATGAATGCAGTCATGGATCTTAGGGGAACAGGTGACCAACATTCATCTCCAGGTCAAAATCTACTTCCATGGCATGAGACTACGCATCTGATGAGGTACAAACAGAAATGTGAACAATTTCAGCAAGAAACTATACTCCACTTTCATTCTCACTTTATTGTCATTGTTCAGAGTGTTTTTTAAATGCATGGGTTTGCAAAAGTGTTAGGGGAGGGATTTGAAGACCACTTTGTGGTTCTGCTAAGTGTGAGGAAAGAGGAGAGATTGAATAAGACACCCCATTTGCCTAATATTCTTTTTATTGACATTTTAGACTTCATCAAATGTACAGGAACCATATTTCAGACAAACTCCCTTCAGATCTAATCTGTTACTTCTTTTTATGCCCATATAAACTATGGCTGTCACTGGTCACCTATGTCCATTTGTTCTGTGATTTACATCCATGACAAGTTGGAGTCATCATTCCTTATTTTTTAAAAAAGATTTATTTATTCATTTGAAAGATAGAGTTACACACACACACATACACACACACACACACACACAGAGAGTGAGAGAGAGGGAGAGATCTTTCATCTGCTGGTTTACTTCCCAAATAGCTGCTGCAATGGCCTGAGTTGGGCTAGGCTGAAGCAAGGAGTCTGGGATTCATCTGGGTCTCCCATGTGGGTGGCTGGGACCAAAGCAATTGGGTCATCATTTGCTACTGTCTCAGGCACATAATCAAGGAGCTGGATTGGAAAGCAAGGCAGTGGGGATTTGAACTGATGCTCATATCAGATGCTAGTATTTGAGGTAGAGGCTTAACCCACTGTGCTGCAACACTGGCCCAAATCATGCTCTATCTTAAATTAGAGTTAAACTTTCAAAATGCTTAAAAACCTACTTTTGTATTTAGTTATTTTGGGGAATACACTACAAGCAGAAATTGAATATAGTCAGATATTCATACAAGGTAATATCTACAGGTAATGAGAATAAATACTGTGAAGCAAGGAAGATGCAGTACATCAAAATATAGTTCTATGGCCTGTATGCCTAACATTTTTCACCAAGGTATTCATTCTTGTGAGTAATGCCTTATATATAAACAACAGGAAGATTCATGAGTTATAGGGCATACAGTGTTGTAACATTTTATAATCTTATGTGCTCTCAATACCAACCTCAGTAGTCAGTGATTGTCAGGTGCCCAATTAATATTTTGAATGCTGTCTTTGCACATCCTTGCACATTAGTCTTGCCTAGGAGAAATAATATAATTCAATTAGAACATTATCTCTAGTTAGAGTCTGAGTTTTGAGAAAAGAAAACTCAGGACAGTTACAGTCAACAGAGAAAGGGAGAAGAGGAATATCTTACTGATTTCGAACCTAATGTTGTAGTCAAATGGGTGGCATATGATTGCTGAAAGGGAAAAAAACATGCAAAAAGTAGAGTAGCAGAGGGCAGAAGAAAAAAGCAACTGTTTAACACTTTTTGTCTAACCCAACTCAGTTTTGCCCCAATCCCTCCATAAAGTGCCTGGTGGAGTGATGCCAGCCAAAGGGACACACATGTGTCAAGAATGGGGACAAGCTGTTCTAGTCAATGAGTGATGGAGGGAGTTGGATGCACTTTCTGTGCCTCTAGTACCAGGTCTATGGAAGATGGAAATAGTTTTTCCAAAGCTGCCTTGGCTCAAGTGGAGGACTTGTGTGATCACTTGTTTTTCTGTAGACTTTTAATCTCTAATTCTTCCCTTGGTCTTTACCTTTAAAAAAAAATTGATTCATTTATTTGAAATCACAGTCACAGAGAGGCAGAGGAAGAGAGAGAGAGAGAGAGAGAGAGAGAGAGAGGTCTTCCATCTGCTGGTTCACTCCCCAGATGGACACAACAGCTGGAGCTGCACCAATCTGAAGCCAGGAGCTGGAAGCTTTCTCCGGGACTCCCACATGGGTGCAGGGCACCAGGAACTGAAGCCATTTTCCACTGCTTTCCCAGGCCATAGCAGAGAGCTGGATGGGAAGTGGAGCAGCTGGGACTCGAACCTATGCCCACATAGGATGCCAGCACTGTAGGCTGCATCTTCACCCACTTCACCCAGAGTGCTGGCCCCTTGTGGATATCTAACTTTCTAAATACCATTTATTGAAAAAAGTATCTTTTTCCCAGTGCATGTCCTTACTAGCTAACCTACTCTAATTTAAACAATATTAAAGCCAAATAATTTCTATTTCCAAATCATGAAAAAAACTTTTCATTGTTTTTTCTTTTCAGGTAAAAATCTTTCATGAAAATACGCAATTTATTTTCAAATGTAAAAATAAACACTGACAATATGTTTAAATGAAATATGAAATATTATATAATTCTGACGATTTTTTATTTGATGTGATAACGTATATGTCAAAAGAATGAGAAGAAAAGAAACAAAAAACTTCATGTTCAATATTATTTGAACTGAAATAAAATACACAAGAAAAATAACAGGCTAACGCCGCTGCTCACTTTGCTAATCCTCTGCCTGCGGCGCCAGCACCCCAGGTTCTAGTCCCGGTTGGGGCACCAGATTCTGTCCCGGTTGCTCCTCTTCCAGTCCAGCTCTCTGCTGTGGCCCGGGAAGGCAGTGAAGGATGGCCCAAGTGCTTGGGCCCTGCACCCGCATAGGAGACCAGGAGGAAGCACCTGGTTCCTGGCTTTGGATCAGCGCAGCACACCGGCTGTAGCAGCCATTTTGGGGATGAACCAATGGAAGGAGGACCTTTCTCTCTGTCTCTCTCTCTCACTGTCTAACTCTGCCTGTTAAAATTAAAAAAGAAAAATAGCATAAGATAATGTACTAAACATGTTAAAATCATACTTTTGGTGGCATTTGATATTTTCCCCTTACTTTATATTTTCAAAATCCTATAGTAGACAATAATGAATTTAATAGTAAAAGAGCTTCAAGATAGTTAATAATATAAATATGATATTTTATTAAATTATGAATTTAAATAAGCACCATGGTTATATTTTGCAGGCAAATCTCTCTTCACCATCTTCTACAGTATCTGATAATCAACTGGTAAGTATTTTCTTATTAGGTCCTCGACCCATTTCTGAATTTCTTTTTTTACATTTAATTTTGCTCCGTAACATTGACACCTTTGATTTCTTTTTGGTAAAGACAAGATAAGTAATCCCACATATTTATTTATTTATTTATTTACTTTTCCCAAAGAAGCCTTTTATTTAAGAAGTACAAATTTCATAAGTACAGCTTTAGCAATATAGTGAAGCTTCCCACCATACTCACCCTCCCATCCCAACTCCTACTCCCCACTCCCATTCCCAGTCCCATTCTCATTAAGATTTATTTTCAATTAATTTTATACAAATAATACCAACTCTTTTTGAAGTAAATATTTCAACAATTTGCACACACATACCTAAAAAACTGAGGATAAGTTTTATAGTTAATTCTCATAATATAACTCATTGAGGATAGAAGTCCTGCATGGGAAGTTAGTGCATAGTGACTCCTATTTTTAAAATAATAATTATCATTCTTATGTATGATGTCAGTGATCACCTGAGGCTCTTGACATGAGTTGTTAAAGCTATGTAAGCCTTTTGAGTCCACAGACTTCATCAGTATTTAGACAAGGTCATAAGCAAAGTAGAAGTTCTCTCCTCCTTTCAGAAAATAGTACATCCTTTGATGGCTGTTTTTTTCTATTCGGGTCGCACTTACAGACATCCTTGATATAGGACATTTTTTGCCACAGTGTCTGGGCTTTCCATGACTGAAATGTTCTCATGGGCTTTTCAGCCAGAACAGAATGCCTTAAGGGCTGATTCTGAGGTAGGAGTGCTATTTAAAACAATTGCCATTCTATGAGTCTGCTGTGTGGACCGCTTCCCATATTGGAACATTCTCTCCTTTTTAATAATAATAATTCTCTCCTTTTTAATAACTATAATTATTACCAGACACTTGATCTTATTATATGATTGCTTTAACACTTCATCCAATATATATGATCATTTTAACACTTAGTATGATCCCTTTCACACTTAAGATGGCATTTTTACCAACCAGCTTAATGGGATTTGGGGGTTCTATGGCAAGGTTTTAAACTGTACCCTTACAGGTAAGTCTCTAAGAATATATGCAGAACTATACAGCTTTACAGTTATAAACTTCCTCCTCCCTCTTTCATTCTCACTCTTATTTTTTTACTGAGATCTGTTTTTAATTGATTTTATACACATATGATTAATTCCATGTTAAATAAAGAGTTCAACAAATAGTATGAAGAAGAAAAAAAACAGTTCCTTGACAGTCAAGAGAAGGGATGCTCAAGTCATTGCTTCTCAACGTGTAAATTTCATTGCTACAGACTTCCTTTTAGATGCTCTATATTTATCACAGATAAGGGAGAACATATGGTATTTGTACCTTTGGGACCGGCTTATTTCAGTAAGTATGATGTTTTACAGATTTATCCATTTTGTTGCAAATGACCGGATTTCCTTTTTTTCTACTGCTGTTTAGTATTCCTTAGAGTACATATCCCGTAATTTCTTTATCTGGTCTTCAGTTGATGGGCATTTAGGATGAGTACAAGTCTTAGCTATTGTGAATTGAACTACAATAAACATAGGGGTGCAACAACTCTTTCATTTGCTGATTTCATTTCCCTTGTGTAAATTCCCAGGAGTGAGATGGCTGGGTTATATGGTAAGACTATATTCAGATTTCTGAGCTATCTACATAATGTCTTCCATAATGGCTTTACCGTTTACATTCCAACAAACAGTGGATTAGGGTATCTTTTTCCCCACATCCTCCTCAGCATTTGTTGTTTGTTGATTTCTGTATGAAAGCCATTCTAACTGGGGTGACATGAAAACTCATTGTGGTTTTAATTTGCATTTCACTGACACCTAGTGATCCTGAACATTTTTTCATGTGTCTGTTGACCAATTGGATTTCCTCTTTTGAAAAATCTCTGTTTAAATCCTTTCCCCATATCTTAACTGGGTTGTTTGTCTTGTTGTGGATTTTCTTGATATCTTTCTATATTCTGTTTATTAATCCTTTATCAGTTGCAGAGTTTGCAAATAATTTCTTCCATTCTGTGAGTTGCCTGTTTACTTTCCCGTGTGTTTCTTTTGCAGTACAGAAGCTTTTCAATTTGGTGTAATACCATTTGTTAATTTTGGCATCAAATGCAAGTGCCTCTGGTGTCTTTTCCAGGAATTCTTTGCTGTACTAATACCTTGCAGGGTTTACCCAATGCTTTCTAATTATTTGGTGGTTTCAGGTCATAGATATTGGTCATTAATACATTTTGAATGGATTTTTCTGTAAGGTGTAAGGTAGGGGTCCTGCTTCATACTTCTCTATGTGGAAATACAGTCTTCCCAACACCATTTGTCATAGGCAATACTTGTTTCAGGGATTGGTTTTAGCTTCTTGGTAAGATGTAAGTTGGTTGTAGATGCTTGGATTGATTTATGGCATTTCTAATGTGTTCCATTGGTTTATCCATCTGTTTTTGTACCCGTACTAGGCTGTTTTGATTATAACTGCCTTATAGTATGTCTTGAAATCCAGGATTGTGATGCCTCTGGCTTTGTTTTTGTTGTATAACAATGCTTGAGCTATTTGAGGTGTCCTGTGTTTAATCTGAATTTCAGCATCATTTTTTTCCAGAACTGAGAAAAATATCTTTGGTATTTTGATTGAAGTTGCATTGAATCTGTACATTGCTTTTGAAAGAATGAAATTTTGATGATATTGATTCTTCTAACCCATGAACATGGAAGATTTTTTCCATTTTTGTTATCTTCTACTATTTTTTTCTTTAATGTTTTGGATTCTCATTGTATAGTTCATTGACACCCTTGGTTAAATTTATCACAAGATATTGGATTTTTTGTAGCTATTGATCTTAGAAGTCCTTTCTCAGCCAGGACATTTTATTTTTTTTATTTTTTTATTTTTTATTTTTATTTTTTGACAGGCAGAGTGGACAGTGAGAGAGAGAGACAGAGAAAGGTCTTCCTTTGCCGTTGGTTCACCCTCCAATGGCTGCTGCAGCTGGCGCGCCGTGGCCAGCGCGCTGCGGCCGGCACACCGCACTGATCCGATGGCAGGAGCCAGGTGCTTCTCCTGGTCTCCCATGGGGTGCAGGGTCCAAGGACTTGGGCCATCCTCCACTGCACTCCCTGGCCACAGCAGAGAGCTGACCTGGAAGAGGGGAAACTGGACCAGAATCTGGCGCCCCGACCGGGACTAGAACCCGGTGTGCCGGCGCTGCAAGGCGGAGGATTAGCCCAGTGAGCTGCGGCGCCGGTCAGGACATTTTCTATGTATACAAAGGCTGTTGATTTTTGTGTGTTGATTTTATATCTTGCAAATTTACCAAACTCTTCTATGAGTTCCAATAGTCTCTTGGTAGAGTCTTTTAGATTCCCTATATGTTGTAAAATATCTCCTGCAAATAGGAAGAGTTTAACTTCCACTCTCCCAATTGGTATCCCTTTTATTTCTTTTTCTTGTCTTCTGGCTCTGGCTTAAAATCCAGGTCTATATTGAATTACAATGGTCAGAGTGGACATCTTTTTCTGGTTCCAGATCTTAGTGGGAATGCTTCTAACTTCTTCCCATTCAATAGGGTGCTGGCCATGGGTTTCTCATAAATTGCCTTGATTGTGTTGAGAAATGTTCCTTCTATAACCAATTTACTTAGAGTTTTTATCATGATAGAGTGTTGTATTTTGTCAAATGCTTTCTCTGCATTTTTTGAGATAGTCATATGTTTTTTGTTCTTCAGTTTATTAATGTGATGCACCACATTGATTGATTTGAAATGTTGAAAAATTCTTGCATATCAAGTATAAATCATACTTGGTCCAGTGGATGATTTTTTTTATTTGTTGTTGGATTTGGTTGGCAAGAATTTTGTTGAGGATTTGTGTGTCTATATTCATCATAGAAATTGGTCTATAGTTCTATTTCTCTGTCACATCTTTAGTTTAGGAATTAGGGTGATGCTGGCTTCAAAGAAAGAACTTGGGAAGATTCCCTCCCTTTCAATTTTTTTGAATAACTTGAGAATAATTGGAGTTATTTGTTCTTTAAATGTCTGGTAGTATTCATCGGTGAAGCCTTCCAGTCCTGGGTTGATTTTGTTGGAAGAATCTTTATTATTGACTTAATTTCCGTCTTAGTAATGGGTGTGTTTTTGTTTTTTATGTCTTCATGGCTCAATTTAGGTAGGTTATATGTATTCAGTGATATATCCATTTATTTTAGTTTTCCAGATTTGTTTTATTTTCATTTCTCTTTTGATTTCTTCTATGACCCACTGTTTATTCAGGAGCATGATGTTCAGTCTCCATGTGTTTGCATATTTTCTAGAGATTCTTCAGTTGCTGATTTTCAGCTTCATTTCATTGTGGTCTGAGAAGATGCATGGTATGATTTTGATTTTTTTTGAATTTGCTACAATTTGCTTTATGGCCTAGCATGTGGTCAGTCCTAGAGAACATTTTGTGTACTGCTAAGAAGGTGTATTCTGCAGCTGTAAGATGAAAAGTTCTATAGATATTTGTTAGGTCCATTTGGTCTATAGTGTCAATTAACTCTGTTGTTTTCTTTATGATTTTCTGTCTAGTTGATCTGTCCATTGCTGAAAGTGGGGTATTAAAATCCCCCATCATTATTATATTTGAGTTTATGTCTCCTTTAGACTCCTTCACATTTCTTTTAAATAGCCTGGTGCCCTGTAATTAGGTACATTTACATTTATAATAGTTACATATTCCTGTTGAATTGACCCCTTAATTATTACATAGTTCCCTTCTTGTCTCTTTTAGCAGTGTTTTTGTTAAAGTCTATTTTGTCTGATATTAGGATGGCTACTCCAGTTCTTTTGTGTTTTCTGTTAGCATGGAATATTTTTTTCGATCCTTTCACTTTAAGTCTGAATGCATGTTTGTTGGTGAAATGTGTTTCTTGGAGGCAGCAAATAGATGGGTTTTGGCTTTTAAACCATTCAGCCAGTCTGTCTT